TTTGACAAAAAATGATAGATCATCGACTTCGCTACCATCGCAATCCGCTGTCAAAGGATCCGTAGCCGCCGGCAATTACATGTATAAATGTTCAGTAATAATGAATCCACCAAAATAGACTGCCAGACACACACACACACATATATATATGAGAAGAACAGGTATGAATCAAAAGCCTATAACGAATTTCGCTGCTATGTCTTCTCCCGGTTCGATGGTACCATTTATACATCAGCTACAATATTATACCCGATATAACGGCAACATACGCAGTATGAGCCTATGAAGTGCTGGCACAAAGAACTATTAATGGCCGCAATTATATTTTATATTCACGAGGTGCGACGGCGATGCAAACGGCTTCTTCTTGCTTCTCTTCGCCCTTTTTCCACTGCTGCTGCTGGCGCCGTCGCTGTCGCTCTGAAGATTCGACGCCAGCTTTCCAATGATACGCTGGTGCCGCATGGAATCGATACTGTGCTAGAATTATAACATCAGAGCGTGGCAGCATCGTGCATCTTCTTGCAGTCCAGTTTCGCTCATTTCCTGCCGGCGTTTGTCTTCAAGCTGCTTTTATTACTACAGCCGGGTTTTTCCCGGACTACGCCCGGGTTTTCTTAAAACTTGCCGCTCAGTTCTTTTTCCTTCTTCTGTGTATGCCTTTTGATTTCTCTTGTTGTCGTCTTCACTAGTGCCTTGTCAGTACACCAGAATCGAGAGGAAGATTCGGGTGTTTTGTTCTGAACACTTTATATAGTTGTCCTGTTTTTTGTGGTTGTACGACCACCACGATCTGGGTCTGCCAATTGGGCAAATACTTTGGTTCGGATAAAGATTCGGTTGTCTTGCAACGTTGAACGAACCTGAACGTCTATCGTCCAGTAGATGTAATAACAGTTGACCCTGTTAGTTTGTGTCTATTTTTGAAAACAATTATTTTCATAGCTTGCACGCTGTTGCCGAACGGTCGACATTTTTCCCCTGCGTATTTTGCACGACGGTGCGTATTCTTCTAGTTTTAGTGAATACAGAATAGCAGTCTACGCCATTTTACGAGCTGGCTTAATTTAGCCGGCCCACAATAGAAGAAAACGGTTTGGAAACGGTAGACGTATGCCCGATGGCTCTATTAAGCGCATGACTATTGCCGTCCTGTATGTATTATGAAATAGTCCGAGCGATAGACGTACCTTTGTTCATTGGCTGCGAGAATGAGTGTTCCTTGATGAAAACTGTGTTTTTTTTTTCTATTTTGCGTCAAAGATACAGCAATGCTTTTGGTGTGAGCCTGCTAAACGTGTAGATATCAACGCTTTTAAGGTATTAATTTCGCAAAGTTCTAAAAAAGATTTTACTGAATTATCAAAGTTAGTGGCCAGCTGGTTTAATTCTATCTAATTCATCATATACGCTATATATACACCATTGGAATTCAAGGCTAATGTACGTTTAACCCAAGACTTTTTGTGTATATTTCTTAGCCTGTTTGATGTGCTTCGATGTTTTTTTTTAATCACCATTATGTTAAGGCGCATTGTTATTAATAAAACAAGTCGTAATACTACCCGAAAGTGAAAATGAAATTATAAACGTGTTGACACAAACCAGACGATCACACGGATTACGCACTTTGATCAAATCTGAAGCTCTATGCTGTTCTTATCTGTGTTGTCTCGTTTATCTCGATCGTCCAATGGAGAAAAAGCGATGTTTAGATCGCTTCTTAAGCGTTTTGTCGGCCGCTTCAAGGGATTGCTATCAGTCTGTCGATATTGTCATTCTTTTACATTTAAACGAGCGCGGTCAGTCTGATATTTGTATATACATAACCCGTAACTACGTAACCCGTGTGAATAACTAAGAAATATATTATAGTTAAATTTTAGGATAATAAAACTAAACTATCAGAGGTTTCTTGACTGCGTCGAGTTTTGGTTCGTGTAAACATCGAGAAAAAGCGACGTGTCGGATCAATATCAGCAGAAATACCTTTATATGAGCATCCGGATTGTAATCAGATCTTTACTAAGAGGAGTCGTCTACGTTGCCAGAGAGTGACTAAGATTAGTCCCCGTTACTCCACTAGACGTTAACCTGAACAAACATATTAAAGCTATCGTAACAGATATCCGACTATATGCCTTTAAGTTTCATTAATTGCTCTCAACTATGAAATTTACGCACCGTTACGTATTGTTCAATTGTAAGAGGACCATATTTTGTGAAATGTTTTATTGGCATAGACCGAGGGAAGCTTATGGATCATGTACCGAAGAATGTTAAAAAAAATGGCATATAATAACGACAGCAGTGTTATTCAGGCTCGTTTACCTTCACGTTGTTCAGAAATTGCTGTTTTTCAAAATATCTAGTGGAAGAAGTAGTTTTTAACTTGCTGATGGTATAAAAACGCTTAATGCAACTGGCATTTCTTGAAGTTTAATTTATAAAAAAAGAAAAAAAAACGTCAGTTATTGATTTTTTCGTGTATGTGATGCTTCTTCATATTCGATCATTTCCCTATTTTTCTACAGCAACAGCTACGGTATCGTTTGCTTTCTTTCCAAATGGGTAATCTTCTCTGACCGCCACATTGCCCGTATGCAAGGATCTTCCAGCAACTAGCGCGGTGCTAAAGATGAGATCGATTGTCGTGAATAGCAAGAACTTTTCGAAGTCAACACGCATTGGACCGGCTCGTTTGAATACTTTCAATATACCGTTATTGTGTACCTGAAAGAGAAAGTACATTAATAGCGACGAAGTGGCTACTCGACCACTGAATGATTTTACGCGCGTTATAAACCTTATTCTTTTTATCTCTCTTTTTTATGCCAGCTAAATAAACTATCTTTCTCACTCACTCACTCGCTTTCTTTGACTATATAGATATATAGCCTTGTAAATTGTGCAGAGGATGGTCGAACGTTTTTGTTACCGCAAAAAGGCATGAATAAAAGTCGTGTATCTATGCGATTATACTGTTGCTTGCTACATGCGATACAGAAAAACGAAGACAGATGTATTGATTTCATCGTTTCATTCAATACGGAGCCAACAGAAGTTCCCACAAGCCAGGCCTTACTAGACAAGCCTTCACTAAAGGATTTATTAAACGTCTGCCATAGTTTCCTTTACTTTGTTTGTTCCACGCACCGCAGTACTTTCCTATCCCAAGCATCCAATATTTACGTGTAGTTAATATTCGATCCGTAAAATTTACGTCTGAAACGAGACAGTTCAATGTTCTTCTGAGGTGTTTGGAATGGAAATCATCTATTATGTTATACTCGTTAATTTTAATGATCGAAAAGATAGTACAACGTTGATTATATGTTTTTTTACGAAAACTTCCAAAACCCAGGGTTTTTTATGAATTGTTAGACATACAAATCTTGTTATGTGAACAGAATGTGTATACAAAAATTACTTAAATTTTAACTATATTAATTTTGATCTTATAATAACTGGAATCCTAGGTAATAGTAATTCTGCTAGCTTTCTGATTTCATCTCAACCTAATGGTGGTCCAAAGCCGATCATGACGTCGTGGGCGATAAAAGCAGCCCAATAGATTAACTTGGTCGCTAATATACTATATTATATGTCACTTTTTCGTCTTGCTCTTGAAACTAAGGTCTACCTTGTGATGTTCGTGATTAGTGGAGTTTGCAGGAAAAACACCTGTATCTACTTCATGAGAAAAGCTGCGAAAGAATAGGTTGCCAGTACATGACACATAAATATTTGGTCATCCTGGCCGTCCATAATAACCTGGGGTTAGTTCCTTTTTATGTTTAATTGAAGTGAGCTCAGGGCAGAACGTTGCTCATTGGATTTACATACAGCATGCGTACTTGCTCGTGCCTTGAGTAATTCGTATCTAAAAAAACTCAGGTCTGCAATTTATAAATTTGTAAATATTTTAAAAAGTGCACGATTCCGATTGTTTATAGCTATTTGCATTAGTAATCGGTTAGATACTTTGCGTAGAACGCTTAAGTCGAGGGCGAAGTGGCACTGCCAATGCGGTACTGGGAAAGGCATATAAGATTTGGTAAGACCTGATCGATACGAAACCCATTTCAGGTGTATCCGCGACAATGGGCGTTGCTTCAAGTTTATTTGCACCATAATGTTTGCTTCGTAATGTCTAGTGTATGATCCCTATGTGGCGACTTTGCAGAGCTTATTCCTAAGAATCTCTCGATTAAGTAATATAATTTACTCTGTAGTTGCTTGTGCGTACTGTGAAATAAGTAATTTCGAGTCGCTTCTCTTTCCTTTTTTCCCCTTGCCTGTTTTCTCTCAGTATAATTCGTAATCGAGCATCGTTCAGAGCACTTAAAACTAACAATGTTAGATTTGTTGCTGCTACTTGTAGTTTCCTCCATCAGTACGGCTTCTTATGACCCTGGCTACAGTTGACTATTCATAATCAACAGCGTCTGCCACTCGGAGGCTGTAGGCCATATAGAGATCGGTGGAGCGGAACAGCCTTGAAATGGAATAAAAGCTACACTTAAGTAAAAAAAACTTTACATTACTAAAAGAAATTGAAACACCAAAAAATACTAAAGACACTATATGTGTACCCATGTATTGCCCAAAACGTTAATACTCATATTTAAGTAATAAAATGATTTCATTCTGTACTACATATAGGGCGATTTGAAAAGCGCGGCAGTCGGTCTTGAAAAAGCCGCGCTTGAAATTGGATTTTGGCGCGATACACAAGAAGAAACAAGTTCTGGAAGCTGATTTTGACGGAATTGCAAACTCTAGCAATTTCACATATGCTTTCCTAACTTTAAAATTACGCTCGATGTATATTATTATATTTATTTCTGCTTGTGGATAGGGTTCTTTCTCGTATCTTTACCGCGTTTTCCATCTTTTTCCACAAAATCTTTTCTCTCTCTCTCTCTCTCTCGCTACGATTCATCAATATTGTGTCGCATTCTTTGATAATGTTATATCTTACTGTGTAAAAATTGCAGGAAATGCCATTCGCATGACGACCTGGCCACAGAGCCTGGAGGCCATAGTGCCAAGCGGGCGAGCGTGGCCGCACTGACGGCGATCCCTGGCCTCGCAGCATCTTCGGGAGCGAGCGGCCATTTAACAGCAGGTGGCTTCCTTGCAGCAGCTGTTGCCGCGATTGGCGGTAACAACCACCACTCAACGGTAGCGAACAATAGTAACAGTCATACTAACAACAACAGCAGCAACAATAACAACTACGGCCCCAACATCAACAACGTTACAATGGATTACGACAAGTCGCAAGGTTCGTCGACTGCTACGACGGTAGCAAAAATGGAAGTTGTTCTGCTAATAGACCTGGTATGCCAGTTTGCCACACGGATGGATCAACGGTTCGCCCTTGGTTCTCTTTACAATCTTTAGCGTGCATAATAATATAGTAGTCCGATCTGCGTCAGGTATTATTATACAGAACTTGAATTTCATATGATCGGGAGGCTAGATTAAGAATGAACACAATTCTTCCGCGTAGAAAAAAAAGGTCTTATATTTAGTTATGTATAGGTTTAATATTTTGATATGTTTCATTAAATCTGGCTGTTGACAAAAAGAAAAAACAACTAATGCTAGCAAATGTCTAATTGTGAAGGTCCGTTCCCCTCTCGTTGTTCTTAGAAATCCTCTGAGGGTCTCTTCTCTGAAATGATGGAATTTATAGCTTCAATCCTATTCTGAATCATTAGCTTTGGTCATTCACATAAAAAGAACATTCTAGGGAGCTAGATCCGCTTTAGACTTCGGGGGGGAAACGAGACAGCAGTTCGCAATATATTTTGGAATAAGTGACTCAACCCGGCTCAGTAAAATAATATAAATCACCTGTTACCTAAACTAGTTTTCCATTGTTACAACTTCGTATGATTTATGCTCACATTATAGCAACTTTATCTATTATACCGTTCTGAATAAACCGATGTAAGTGCCGGAGGTATAAGTATCTCTGACTTATTGCCAAGTGAGTGGAAAGAGTCCTTCATTATAATTAGATGCTCGACGTTTTCTACAATCAACTCTTCTCGATTGTTATCCTCTTTTTTTACCATAAAAATCCCTATTTAGAATCAAGAAGGAAAATGAATTACACAGAAAGTTTTTGAGACCTTTAAGCCGTGGTTAATCCCCCGCACAGTTGCGTTTTGACTTGAATGTAGATTGGATAGACCCGTAGTCTCTAATCTAAAGTGGAGCCTGTGGGTGTCGCTGGGTATCATTGGATCTCCGTTGGAGTAAAACGCCGACCATCGCTCTCTTTTAACGGCCTTTCTTTTAGCGCTTGACCTGCATTATGCGTGCGCTGCGTAATACTTTGCCAAAGTTTGTTCAAACCATCTGATATGAATCTAATTTTCAGTTTGGCGCCCTTGCTGTTATATTTGTCCTACTTCACTACTCCCCCTAACTCAACTAATTATCTTTATTGTCCCGCTGCAGTTTTCTAATAATCCTGTTTCTGCACTTAGGTCTACAACTGATTTATTTTACCAAAACTATTTAATTATTTTAATTTAGATATGCACAGACATATATCAAATGTGATTTTCCCTAAAGGCGATTCTGAACATAAAACATGAGACATCTGTATAATGGACATATATACTACATAGAAAGATTATTTGCCTTATTTAATATAATATTGAAGAATCAGTTTGGCCTATTCGCTCCGTTGCTGTGGTATTAGCCTTTATATAAATACAGGTGGAACGTTTCGAAATCATCGAAATTTTATAAGTTTCATCTTAGACTATGTTCAAATAAAGGAGATATCTCAACGAAATCCTTTGCATGTGTTATCAGTGTTTTTTTTCGGTAGCCATCATTCACTAATATTATATATTCAATTCTGGATTTGAACCATTGGCTAGTTATTTTCAATACTCCTTCTTTATTCTACAAAGAACTTTTTAGCAGAACCGTTGCGCCAAGTGATATTTGTAGCTATTACCTGGTTTAACTATTGCTCAAATAAGCAATAAATTAGTCGCAGGCCAAAGGTTCAAAAATACGAGAGTTCAAAATGGCCAGTAAATACAAACGACGTAAAAAGGAAAAACTAAAAAGATTAACTGTTGGAGTTTATCTAGATGACTTAATTGGCATTTGTTACAATGCTCTTCGTAACTACCGTTAATTTCTATGTAAAAATCCAGGTGTATCAAAAGGGGTTTTTGGGTCCTTTTGATTAATTTTTGAACCCTTAAAATGTGAAGTCAAATGAGGATTCTCGATTTGAGCCTTGAAACTCTCCCTTGGGTTTTCCAAGAGCCACATGAAAACTGGCAATAATGTGAACCATCAACCTCAGCCTAAACGAATGTTTATAATCTTGATGACGGTTAGTTCCGCGTGAGCTGGCTTTTCGTCGCTGACAAGAATAGCGAATCAATGCATGCCTACAATAAAGAGGCCGCAGAAATTTGTCTGAATTTTAATGAATCAGCTTGTATGTACGAGCAATTCTTTTATAATTATTCTTATGGCATGCCTAATGGCGGTACCGGACGTAAAGCTGGAAATATATATTAATTCTTTTACAGTCCCCGTGATTACGCAGTGAACCTGTGTTCTTTTATCTGCTTGTTAAACTTAGGAACACGTGGTGGAATAATTTCGAGTTTGGACGTGGACACGCCGTGTTGTTTCATGCCGTTTGAACTAATATTTAACAGCTTAAACAGCGGACGTCATTTTTTTAAAATGTTTTTAAAAAACATTTTACTAGTGTTCTTATAGACAACTGTTTTCTGTTTTATTATTAAAACTTAGTCAAACAAATTTTAGATAGTGGCAAATGATGCCTTTGTAACGGCGCTATGATGACCCAATCAAAGCTAACATTGTTTCAGATAGAGGGTCTACCGCCTCTCTATTAGAAATTGTCGTATATTTGCCAGGAAGCGCCAATTTACATGAAAGTCTATGAGAAAGTTTTTGAACTATTCATCTCAAACATTTGGTTAGGTACGAAACTTTGTTTTTTTCAGACATGTAATTTTCACTACGGTCCCTTCTTATCAACTAAAGCTTTTTTTTCACAAAAAAATATATTAGAGACCTGTTGAGCCTTTTTTCATATACATAAATGACCATATAATGACCATATAATAATTCGAGACATATAGTGGTGTCCTATTGAAGGTATACCATCACCTCTCTATGTTTCTAGTTTTACGTTCGACATCGCTATGTTGGCGTTATTGGACCAAACGGTTGGCTCCCAGCACGAAACAAAGTGTGTCGATGTCCGGATTCGAACCTAGACCATAACATGTCCCCAGTTTCATACAGTATCCACACAGTATGTAGTTGGAATAGTTTTGTATGGGGAGTGATCGGAAGTGGACCGAATCTGTTTTACATAGCTCATATCTGCATCTGACCAGCGTTTTCGTGCTAAATACCTCATTGCTTCGGTTGGTACGACCGAAAAGCGCATTAGCGGCTGATTACCTCGAACAGAGAGAGCTGTGCAACAAATGGACAAAATACCGATTGTTACTGTAGTAGTGATATTATTCGCAGATAACAGGGGCGAAACACACGAGTGATGGCGATTAGTTGCATAGGAAATGACTTTTGTGAGACTCGTTTCGTTAAATCAAATTTAGATAATCCCATAGTCCAAATTTTCCCATAGTAATTGAGCTGACATGAAGCTAACTTAACGATTTGATACTAAAAATAGGACAAAGCCTAACCAGGAAGTTCTCAGCATGCTTTTCCTGCAACCTGACATTAAAAAGCCTGGTCATATATTTCAGACATTTCTTTCATGCTTCTTATTTTCGTTACGGTTTTTCCAATCCTATTTTCTGTTTGTGTTCGATAAGAAATTGAATAGTTTATGCTTTTCCAATGTAAGTAAGAAACTATGTGGAACGTTTATTTTTTTCCCGTATCGGACTAAGGCATGTATCGTTAGCTTTTCCTATCGTTCGTTTTGAACTCTGGCAGATCTTCTGAAACAATTAACCAGGAGCATTTGTAAACCATAAAGAGGAGTTTTTCAGTATTTCTAAATTCCTGCTATCATTTATATACTGCGAAGCGAAATATTCTCCTAGTCAATGTGGCCGACAAATTTGCTGATGATCGGTATATAATGTACAGATATAGTACTCTACGATTTTTAATTTCAAGACAATGAGAATTGTTAATTCAACGCAGATATAATTATCGATTCGGTTAGAATGCATTTTGCCTTAGCAGGAAAGTCCTGAACTAAATTCTCTGCCTCTTCGTTCAGTTTAATGCTTAAACAGTTGTCAAGTTAAATATAAACAAGATCTTTTAACCGTCTAGAATTTTTGTGAATTTTAACGAGACCAGAATCTCTTTGCAGAGAAAAATAATTTTTCAAAGACTATTTCCTCTCTATATTGTGCTGTACTAAGGATTATAATGATACGAGCAATTCTATTATTTATCATTCTTCCAATTCTAGCCGTGAAATTCTTATACTACGGACGCTGTCTAGTGATTTTTTTCACTTCATAATTTTACCTGGTATTACTAGTTTACAAAACAGACACGCTTTTGCTTTCTACAAATACTTAAAGGCTAGAGATTACCTTGCACTCAGGTAAAGGGAAAAGGAACGTAAGAGACGTTTACTAGCGCGAGACAAAGCAACCGGCGAAAGCTTTGCGGCAATTCTCAGTATAATATCATGAGGTTAGAAGAAAGCGCTGCTTAAGATCCTAGGTTACGTTTTTTGCGTGCCCGCAAAAAATATCCTCACCCATCATTGCCTCATCCTAAAATGACAGCGTCTCTTTTTTACTGTAAAAGAACTAGAGCTTTGTTAAATTTTGTCATCCTTAGGCAGAAAAAGCGACAGTACCCATCCACAGAAGGACATCGCATCTATGCGACATTAGTGTTGAGCGAATGATCGCGTTAAGTGTACACTGTAGTCCATAGGTCACTGGTCACGAGTGTTCTTTTTTAGGCATTATTATTATTGATAGAATTCATCCAGAAGTTTCAAACAAACGAAATAGTCAAATACTTGACAGAAAACCTATCCAATACACGACACTCTATCTGAAACAATTTACACTCGCTATTCTACAATGGGAAAGGCAAATTGCTTTACAGAAAATTCATCCGACGAGATGAACCAGTGGAAAAGCGCAACTACGGACAGTGTAAAACGCACTTTTAGATCTCTGAATTGCCTCAACATATTAAAACTTCACTAACGCATTGTTCCGCCTATTCAAACGTTGCTTCAATAGGAAACACGTCATCCGGAGTGGGGTGACTCCAGTAACCGTCTGATTGCTCAGGAGGAGATTCGGCGAGCATGCCGAGCTGCTGGGGCCACACTTCGAACGATTGACTTGCGAGACCTTGGGCATCAGGAGAGACCTTCAGGAGAAATTCAGGAACTTTTTTACCAGGCGGACGTCGCTATCGTAGATATCACCATCCGGGTATGTTATTGTCATAACTCGTTCATATAGCTCAGCAAGTTTCAGCTAGTGCCTGATAAGCGTCGGTCCGACTTTCTCTTAGGCCATACATGCTGCGCAAGGTATTCACGTTGTCGATTATCAATACGACATCGCTGTCCGGTTGAAAATTCATTTAATATTTCACGTGGGCAATCAATGACAAATAGCTTTTTTTGAAACCATTTGAAATGACCGTAGGCGACGCTTCCAATAGATAGCGTTCTGTCGGCACGTTTCTACCAGTTCCCACAGCGTAAATAGTATAGAGATTGCGTACCGGGTAAGCAGCGCGTGTCCGCAGTTCTGGCCACGGTGTGGTAACTATTCCGCGCAATAGATTTGTCACAAACAATTAGCGGCTATCGATTCTCGTATCCAGTCGTTGTGGTGAGCTTGCGTTGTTCTCGTTGATTACTTACGATTTTGTATGACATCAGTCGAGTCGCTCTAGACCCGACCCGACCCGACTCGGCTGGTGAATACCGAGCATCGAATACGAGCCTATTCATAGAAATTAGCTCAAAACGGTATTTGCTGTACGTAGAAAGGAGACTGTCTCAATACCACTTAGCTTTGTCTGGCCTGCGGCCTTGGTAATTACGAATAATAACGGAGGACATAAAATACATCATGAGCAAATATTACCAAGTACTGACAGGCATATTATGTCGCAGTTTGTAATCGTGGTAAGTTAGACACTCATTAAATAAACACACGGTTATTGTTACGTATACCAGAATCGAGTGACTTTCGCTGCTCGACTTGTGCAGCGACACGCAGCACGATACGTGTACAACGGCTTACTCCTACCGATGAACACCATCTCCTCTCGATGACTTCAGTCGGATGCTTAAGCGCCTGCTGGCGACGTTTCTGCCGAGTTAGCAACAATATTACTTAAATACACGTTTGCAATGAAGACAAACGCTACTTGTGGACATTATAGCTAAGAGCTATCAATAGAATGATTCCTAGATGGTCCTTAACAAGACTAGGCTTGCTTGGTCAGGACACCTATGGCCTGCTATTTCAGCAGTGTGGCTGAAACGAACTAAGCAACTGATCCTGTGTCCAAGTCTTGCCGAACGACCGATTATCGACGATCGGCCAGGCTGTGACGCATGCTTTGTGTAAATATCGATTAGTGTGGGTGAGAATGACTGTTGTTATTGTTATTATGTTACAGGTATATATCTAAAGTATCTATCAGCGATTAAGAGTATGTTGGTTTTATAAGTAAAAGCTTTTTACTGGTTCATCAGTTGGCCTCTGTATGTGATTGTTAAGATTTAGTACGCGTCACTTAACGAAGAGCTCACCAATGATAATCAACCACACTGGGTTTACGCTAGCCAATTAGACATCACGTCACTGCTGTAGTTGTTCTTTAGGCGTGTCCGCGTGCTTTTTACTTTGGACTAATCTTTAAAGTTGATTCGTAGCGTTCAGCGAACGGTGATCAAAACACGAATTAAGAGTGGTCGAGTATCGCCGTTTCGTTGTCGTTGGGCCGCAACAGACGCTAGTGCCTCCTCAAATGCCCATCAACCAAGTACTGCCATATCATAGTGCAGTAATTGTCTTTACTTGCTCGAAATCTAGTACTTCTTTTCATTATATATTTTACTTATGTTTGTTGTCAAGTAGAACGGGACAAGGATGGGACTGAAGACGATTGAGCGGTACCGTGTGATTCGCCTGGGGGCGCTGAACGCATACGAAAGCTGTGATGACGTCATTATTTGTTTTGCTTCCGTCTGTTGTCACCATCAGTGTCCTAATCATGCGAGATCATAGGGAAAGGTTTGCGCGAATTGAGCCAAAACTCTTCTCTGTAGAAGTATTATTGCACGATATCTTAAAAAAAATTATATATATATATATATATAGTGCATATGACATGTGGGTGCAAGCCTGTATTTGTTATGAGAAAAGAGATCATTGTTACTACTGTTATCTCTTGGTACTGCTTTAGCATAGTCCGCACGCAGGTGCCCGTGTCAACCTGCCGCGCGCCCCTTCAGTTACTCAGATTGATCAGGTCGTTGTCGATACTGAGGTAGCTATATTCATTTGACCATCATTTAAGATCGAACGCTATCTTTCTTTGTTCAGAAGACCTAAAAGGAACACACACACGCCAGTAGGCGTCTCAAGGCGTCATTGTCTCTATTTCTTCTTTATATCAGAAATCAAGGCTCTTACTTAAGAGGTATTATATATGTTTCTAATAGCGAAAGTCTCTTAGAGGTCGTTTTTTCTAGACGCACATTATAATGTTATGCCTGTTCTTGTATAATCCATGTAACGAAAATATTTTTTTTGTAAGAATAAAACACGAGGTAGGACTTTAAAATTCACTGATTTTATGTCCTAAGTGTCGTATCGTTGTTGTTTGTTTCCTTGTCTTGTTTTTTAACAGCTTGCCACCGATAAATGCGCATCGGGGGATCCTCGCTATTGCTAGTTTGCTTCTAATGAAATTTCGAGAATTCAGTTTGTAATTGCTATGAGCTGTAGTAAAATGACTCAATCAAATGATGATAAAGGCAGTTGGATCATGTAATTATCAATCGGCCGTAGGACTAGCATGATCCTTACAATTTAAACGTTCTCTTCTCTAGCTTCTTAAATAGGCGAAGGACGCTACTTTAAGGTCAATGCAGTGACCTACAAGGGCATGCACATCCATCCGAACTCACAACAAATTAAAGATGATTTTTATTGTTTTGCTTTAGCTTACAAATCTTATTGAAGTGGCAAAAAAATTGGGTACTACGTCCTTTGCAAATAATAGACTTTTTGTGTAGTTTTAACTAGATGCAACACCGATCGATACGAATATGCGTTTCACCATTGGCTGAAAAGTGGGATGGGTCTTAATAGCAAGATACGCATAGAAGACGTTCGCTTGTAGAGATTGCACCCTATCAGTTACAATGTGTTGTGCGTAAAAAAATGCCCAGCGTTTATTTACTACCACAAGATATAAGCATGCATTCTTAAGGCCCAATACAATTCAATTACATTCTGAACACTCGCGTCATCCTTTTCTACGTACCTTGTTGACGGTCAACTGTCGATTGCAGAGTCAATGGAACTGCCTGTTTTACCATCTCGGCATTCGGGAGAGTTTCCGTATGGTTCACTCGATTGTTATAGGCAACGCCTCCAGTAAGACCGGCGACCATAAGGTAAATAACTTAAGGAACCGAACCGCAGATACGGTAGTTACGTTAGAAGACAACATTTTTCTTTACTGTTGAGCCTGTTATAGTTATGCATCTGTGCTTGTGAGGTACGTTTCACCATTATGCTGCCATCTTTGAGCAAACAATTACAATGCGTGATAGATATTGTAAAAGGTATAATTTTTGCGCTCGCTGATTGTGTTTGAAAAACCGTTTGATTTAGATGAGTGTCCTACTGATTGACTTCAACGTCAGAGGTCAGTTTTCTTGTTTGATAGACAATTTCTGTGGCTCCAATAATATCGATGAGCAATGTTGGCTAACCTTAGTTCGATTACCAGCTAATAGCAATAGTTCTGCTGTCTGGATGGTTTTTGACGACGAGGACGACGAAAGCCTCTTGTCCTTCAAAACGGTCGTGATTTCATTATTAGGATATCGAGGCCATACAATTTTTTTTTAGCTGTTACTCATATCTCTCGTTTAGCTAGCTAAATATTTCTACACAAACAGCTTTTGTTTTAGTTCCGGAAAAATTCGGCCTTCTTCCAAAGCTTTCTTAATTCATATGTGATTATACAAAATAGCGTTAATTTTTTTCGAATAACAATACTTATTTGTACATACTGTGAACGATCTCCAGCTGTCATCGCAGTTTTAACCAAATTATATGTCCCAATTATTAGTAACTGTGTGTACTTAGCAGTAACTAATCTATGGGGCAGCGTAGATACATTTATGTATTAGGGCTTGCGTTTTACTACTGGTGTCTGTCAGCGACTAATCAGTGGACTCTAGAACAAGATTCTCTTCACGACGAGCTACCATTTTAAAAGCTAACTCGTTGTCCTCACGCTAATGGACCGATGCATAGTCAAACTATTACTATTAAACTACCTAATAGATTTACTTTTTGAGACGCTTTTTGTACAAAAATCCGTGATACATGATGAGCCACTGCACTTTGTTACTAACCCACTATAAAAACAACTATACTATTTGGATATCAAAAATATCCGAAAGTCTCTTTCTCCTCGTCATCGGGGTCATCATCATGCTGTTAACGATGATGATTGATATTTCGTCTCATAATATAACCTTTGATTCAACAGAGTCAACTCGGTAATTATCGGCCAATCTACTACTGCGTTGCCGATAACGAGAGACAGCCGATATGCTACGTGAGTGAAATTGGGCCTTCTTTCTCCGATGGAATCGGTATTGTGCCTGTTGCCGAGAAGGACCTTCTTTGCAGCGTCATTAAGAAACGGTTGCTCGAATTTGAAGTCAATTCAAAGTGAGTGCAATTAATAACCACTCTCTATTTCCGATGCAATTCCTCAGATGTACTTCGGACCTCTGCTCTAGCAACGCACTCCCTATAGAAATTTACGTTGAAATTCAATAGAGATAAAAACTTCTCGAAAAAATAGAGTCTGCCGAGGTAATGCTTCTAGTTAGGCTGTTCTACAATAAGAGTATTGCCTGTGAATTAGATTAGAGTGAAAAGGAAAAAGCACAGCATAGAAACTAGCTTTATACAGACTAGTTTATATAATTAAGCTGTCGAAAGTTTGACACTTCACACAAATCCAATATTAGTATTCAATAGCTTTTGTTAACTCATGTTGCACGGTCCTGTTCGTTACATTGTTTCACTCGTAGAGAATTTCTGAAAGAAAAGTTTATGGCAGATTTGCGACAGCTTCGAGAGTCACATCGCGGGGATGAGCTGAAGGCAGCTCTGAAGAAGTTCCGCCTGCGCCTCGACGACCCTAACGTGATCTCCCCAGAGGTAAGACATTTCGTGCAATTTCATAGCATGTGGTTGATTGGTACGCTTTTCCAGTATGTTGGAACTGTAAAAGTGTAATGTCTAAACAAGATCTGGAAAGCTCTGTCAAAAATATTGCAGACCGAACTAGGTATATTGCTTCATGAACTACAGACGATCATTTCAAATCTTATTAAAAATTCAGAGTTTTCTGATATCTAATTCGTTTCTTGGATGTGTCGTCATTGGTTATTATGTGGATGGTTTTCATCATAGGTGGTGCATAAGATGTTAAATGCGCTCAATGATGCCCAGGACTACGACTCATCAGCGAAGCTGGTTGAAGACCTTCAAGAGGTTCCCACGCTATCGTTTATGCACCACCCTGCTATCCAATATCTATACGCCTTTGCGCTTAACAGGTACATCTTCCTTATTAGTCGTAGAGAAATGTGCATTTGGGTCACTGCTGAAGGACTACGTAGCATAAATCCACTGTTTTACCTACATGCCTCTTTTTTTATAGCTGCACAACGAGATTTCTCTTTACATTAGTTCGTATTTATATTATTCAATTGACTCTATATGGAAAGTACCGTTTATGACTGCGTCCATTATAAGGGACCAATCCTCAAGGCTAGACTGTTGCAGTTCATATACATAATCATGAGTAATCGATTTGTTACCAACCAAATATTGAGATGCGCGTTCAAGAGGCAGCGGGATGACCTTGCAAGTTTGGAGTCATATATTAAACATGTGTACGCACTCATACGCGACAGGTACAAATTAACCCCATACCGTAACATAAAAAAGCCAAAACACACATATTTAAGGGACATTCACTCTAATCCTATTTATAAGATAAACAACAGCTAGGTCAGCTGCTGCCTTTTATAACGATTAGTGTAAATAATGCATAAATTATTACCGTACTTTTTACGGGAATGTGCTGAATCCTTCTTCCTTCGATTACTCATAACGGAAATGAGTCAATCTTACCTTCGTGCTGTGGTTCTACGTAGCGCAATTCCTTTTTATACTTGCATGTTTCGTTTCACAGACGAAAACGCGAAGGTGATACGGATCGTGCGTTAGCTGTGATGGAAAAGGCTTTAGAAAGAAAGGAAAATGAGATTCCTGATTACCTAGGTTTGTGTGGTCGTATTTACAAGGATAAGTACCTAAACAGCGATTGTAAGGACACCGATTCACTCAAAAAAGCCATTGAGTGGTATCGAAAGGGTTTCGATGCTCAGCAGTCCGTCTACAACGGAATCAACCTAGCTACCCTGCTTACAGCTGATGGACACAGGTTGGTAAGCTTATCCAATAACTCCTACACATTCCCCCACGTTTTTCACCTAACATTCAGCCAGGCGTTACGTCACACATATGACAGGATATAGATCCATTCAACTTACACAAGTAAATTTTCGACGTTTGTTAAACATTTACAGTGTAGGTCTAATACAAGTTCGCGGCATTCTTGTTGCTTAGCGATTTGTATTGATTCAGCATAAATTAGTCAACGAACTTCAAAAGTATCGTAAATTTGTATCTGCTCATGTTAGGTACCGTGCATACTTATTCATATATATATATATATATATATATATATATATATAGAGTGCTGTAAAAGTACTCCAGGGTGAGAATTGGTCTTATCATGCCTGTCCGGAAATGCTAAGTCAGTGCGTTTTGTCTTTCTATTGCTTCTGTACTTTTCCTTGTTTGCCATTATATAAAAAAGGCCTGAAGAGAGCCATGACCTCCAATACGTATTCCTCGTGCTCAACAACCTCATTGGAAAGAAGGGCGAGATCGACTCAATGACAGATTACTGGGATGTGGCAACCTACTTTGAAGTCTGCTATCTTGTCGAGAACTATACGCGAGCTATCCAGGTACCCACTATACCCATTCGACCACAGTCTACCCAGATCCCATGTTTGAGTTGCTTCATTTACTACATCTATATTCTATATGTCCATGCTTAATGCTTTTGATTTAATCATACTTTTGTGTAGGGATGTACGGAATAGGGCAAGCTGCTTTTCGTGGTGTACGTGCGTCCATCCTTGGCGCTATCCTTGACACTCGAGCGAAGACAATTATTTCTAGAATAGCACACAAGGAAACACTGCGTAGTTTTCACTGTTTTATCAAAGAGGAGCCATTATTTAATCTTCTCGCGTCGAGGAAAGCGTCAACAGAAAAAAAAAAATTTGTTTTGTTCGAAATCGATGGTCCATGTTTATTGCCCGTTTCCATGTGGTCTCTGAAACGATCCGAGAACGATTTCAATAAAACAAATCAAAATATCCTTGTTAGTATTCAGATTTCAAAAGCGCAAACTTCATAAGAATAACTTAAAAAGCAACGTTAATACATTTGAGTAATTCTTACAGAAATAAATGGTCATTTTGTAGTGAAGAGTATTGAGTTCCGAGACCAACTTCTACAGTTAGTCCTTTTGGCACTTTTTTGATTTTCTGGTGACTTTAGGCTCTTGCATTCCCGAGCTCTTTGGCCTGCTATCAAGCCAATTTTCAGTCATGCCAGAATTTTTGTGTGTAGCGTATTTGAGACGTGCTTTACATTTGCCAGTATCGCTTGACTCGTGATTAAAAAAAATGCGAATTAAAGAAGGAATACTTTGAAAAATATTAGAGAGTGGTTTAGGTTTTGGACTAAAAATGTAATCGCTTTGAATGGTAATTATATTGAATAAATATGAGCATCACAAATAACAGTTCTACTACATACAGAAATCCCGTATATATATATACATATATATATATATATATGACTAAAAAAAGGCTGTTTGTAAGGGAAATATCCATTATGTAACCATAGAACGAGTACGTTATAAAAGTTTCAAGTTCTTGAGCATGTTTTTGCGGGTAATCAATACGGCGGTGTACAGTTACTAATGTTCACAGAGCCCTTTTTTATGTGCGATGAGACTGTTAAGTTTCAATTTTTTATTATAAACTGTATGAAGTTTTCAGCACAGCGTATAGCTATCTATTGTTCACAATTGGTAACTTGTTGATCATCTGTTGGTACTAAAATAGGTGGCAGCCAAGATGTTCCACCTAAATCCTGCCAGCTGGTGCCTCGAGACTACGCTTCTCAACATTCAGTTAATTGCTCGGAAAAGAAGAAAAGGTGATACAAGTGCCATTTTGCCCGAGGAGCATATTATGGGCTTTTGGATCGATTACTTTAGCATGGCCACTAAGGAGACGCTCGACGACACAATATTGTTTCCGGTATGATCCTGCACACCCTTTTGATTTAATGATTGTATGCTACACAAATCGATACGTTTGTGCCATTAAACTGATGTTTTTTGTAAGGACTGAAACTTCTCGGCCTGAGCTGTAGCGTATTAGTAAAGCACAGTTTGACCTTGCACTAATTAGGTTGGGCGACTCCCCGTAGTCACACCTCGTCAGAATCTATCCCCCCCCCCCACCCACCCACCTCCCCTAACTCCAACCCCACGGTAGAAGGATTGCGAACAATTGCAGAAAAACCAAATGCGGATTTGACCACTGTAGAAGCAACAAAGCCTTCTGTTAGAGACCCCTCTCGTGCCGCTAGAAGACTATACAAAGTATTCTTCTGTCTACGTTTGCGTTCTGTTCATACGTTCTTCTAGTTGCGTTATGTTAACAATGCATTAACATTCAATGTTGTGCATGCTGCCCTATTCGCTCCATTTCAAGGCGATCATAAACGAACCAAGTGAACAACTGATGCCTGCTGAAGTCACCTTGCATCTGGACACTGGCGATCAGAAAAAATACATTCAGATCTCGCACAAATGCGCCGAAACCTTACGGGGTAACTGTAAAAGGAGACACGACTGGAACTTCACTTCCCCGGCAATCAAAGGTGTCTCGCTTTACCGACAAGATGATCGTTGTATCCTGTTGTATGTGCATGAAAATTCCGATGACTTTCAAATGTTTTTCCCATCTTCAACTGCGAGAAAGCGCTTCTATCAGGTCAGCGTTTAGACCAAGGTCTTGCTAATAGTAAAGAAAGTCAACAAAGCCTTCGTACGAAATAGAAAGTGAGCTAGATATGGCGCTGATATAATTCAAAAAAGCCTCTTGTACACTTTGGCTGTGCGATTTGCTGAACCAAAGACACTTTAATGGCTTCTGTTTCTAGTAAAGGTCTTGTAACTGAGTTCCTGCAATATTTTCGGACCCGCTATTTGACAACATGTAACAGGACTTGGTAGCTGCGGTACTCACCTATAATATACTAGGACATAATCAACCGCGTACCTGTCCCGAATGGCCGCAATTTCAGGTTGTGCAAGACATGATTAGCGAAAACCAGCAGAATGACGAAGACGCGATGTGTCACGCTTTCGACTACGACTCAACACAGTTCCCGTGTGTCGAGTTTGAGTACGATCTGGATGAAAGCGGGCATAAGAAGGTTCTTGGAAAAGGTAAGCCTTTGCTACAGTAACCCATAAACTCGCAATCATTGGGTCGGATTTACCGAAAATTGCTTAGGATCTTAGACATTCGAGTGTCTGTCTTCGTGCATATAGAGCGCAACCGGTCGAGTCGGTAGAGCATCACACCGATACCAAATGCTTCAATGAGTTTACGATTAACGGGCAATTGAAAAACTGAAGCTACTTGATACCTGCAAATACTAAGTAGAGATTAAAAAAAGATAATCGTTAATATCAGAGAGCATAACTGTTTTTTTGTAACTTAATACAGTTCGATGTGGCGCAGCTTTTTTTTAATTTGCAATTTTATATAATAGCAACACATGGCAGGCAAGTTAATCTATTTATTATGAATATATTTTCTTACTTGACAGGCACCTATGGCGTGGTTTACGCGGCTACAGATATAAAGAAGATGACTCAAATTGCAGTGAAGGAAATCCCTGAAAAAAACTTAAAGGACGTACAACCGTTGCACGAAGAGATCATGCTACACATGCATTTGCGGCACAAAAACATTGTTCAGTATCTCGGTTCGAAGAGCGAAAATGGAGTAGTAAAGATATGCATGGAGCGCGTGCCCGGGGGTAGTTTGTCTCATCTACTGCGTTTCAATTGGGGTCCACTTCGCAATGAGAGTACAATCGCCCACTATACCCGCCAGATTCTAGAAGGCATCAAGTATCTGCATAAGAATAATATCGTGCACAGGGACATTAAGGGAGATAACGTACTCATCAACACTTATTCTGGAATTGTAAAAATATCTGATTTTGGCACATCGAAGCGAATGGTGTCTGGCCGACTTGTGGAAACGTTTGCGGGCACCTTTCAGTATATGGCTCCTGAAGTAATGGACAATGGCGATCGAGGCTACGGCAAACCGGTAGATCTATATTTCACCGAATGAATAGTCGTAATTAATTGTTGCAGCTTCGGCTAACAGGCCATAAGATCTGAATGTAGTTGTAAAAAAAAAAATAAGTCTAACTGTATACCGGTTTTCTCGAATCAGGATTGTACTAACTTGGCAAAGGTTTATTTTTAGCTTTTCATTTGCCTCACAACTCGGCTTTTTCTACACAATCGATGACACTCAGTAGCAAAGACCGTCTTCTGACGCCAACAAGACTGATAGTAGGAAAGCTAATAACCAGGCCAAGATACTAAACATACAGCCTGTACTGTCACTAGGCTTTACTTTAAGCGCCCAGACCCCAACACAGGATAAAGCGTGTCCATGCCCAACTATGTTTTTCGGATTTTTGCTTCGTATGACTCACCGAAATTCATAGTCGTCATAGCAATATGCGTGACAATATGAGCTATGATCATATGCATAAAGGTCAATCGTTGGGAAACCGGTTTTTTTTTTAAAGACCAACATTTCAACCTAATCAATCAACCACAACCAGAATTGTCGTTCGTTCCTCTTTACTTCGTATATAAAATTTAATAGCATGTTTCGAGTTTTGACACACGTTAGTCACATCTTGGTCTTGTTTGTCTAAGGTTAGTACACTGACTTCTTGTCATTTGTCCATAGGCTGACATTTGGTCGTTGGGCTGCACGGTTATCGAAATGGCGACGGGCAAATTCCCATTTTCCGACTTACCACCACAAGCAGCATTATTCAAGGTAAGCTAAAGCCCGTGATGATGAAATGTCAATGAATTCGCACCTTTGTGTATTGATAAACGAGGCTATTTAGCTTTAATTTCTTCGACCCTAGTATCACATCAAGGCGTACCTATTGTGCCAACGTACTCGCGCATTCGTACACTGCAGCTAGTCTCGAAATTTCTTTCTTTTCTTCGATGGCCTGAGTGCGACGTAATTGATCAGAACTATTCGATACAAGTTCTACTCGTAACTTTTTGCGGTTCTTAACCATTCTACAAGCAGCTAATAGAAATCTGAAAAGCTGTATAAACCTGCCATTGCAGGTCGGGCAGTTCAAGATTCACCCAGACATTCCCGAAACGCTAACGGAAGTCGCGAAGACCTTTATTGAGAACTGCTTTACACCTGATCCTGACAAACGAGCCACCGCCGAAGACCTTCTTGCTGACATTTTCCTTGACACGTAAGCACGTCCAAAATGATCGGTATCATCAAAACTCAAAATTCCCAAACGTTGCCATCAGTCTCTGTTTGACCTCACGATACGAGCGACCATTCACGTGTAGTTGTTGGCGAGTTTTTTTGTTCAGTTCATTGTTTATTCAACCTTGGACTGATGCTTTTTCCAGCCATTATTAATTGTGTCGTAAAAACTTAATCACTGAAGAGTTCACATTACGCTAGCATTGGTCGTTCCTGAGATGACGATCAGACAACTTCAGTTTCTGCGTACAAATAGTCTGACAGCACCCTAAATTTTACTATAGTTTTTCATACTGCATAAGCGGACGTTCAGTGTCAAAACACAAACCAATGTCTTTATGTTAGGTTGGAGCAAACACTATTTACATCCACTGTGATTTACCATTTTTCTGTTCTAAGGCCTTGTTCACTTTTCGAGTATTAACTGTATGCGATTCGAGGACGAATATGGCTGGCAGCATTTGCTATTTCTAATCATTGCGGCCTAAAAGCTCGTATAAAACTTCGAGAAAGACAACTAAAAATACTGAAAAAAATGCGGCTTCCTGAGTTCGGACCCCTATAGCAACCCCTAGTGAAGATCTAGTTTCACCCGACATTTCGAATCTGTAGAGGAATTGGCTTGCGTCGCTTTTGAAAAGAAATAATTATTAAGAAACCTATATCCTACCCGTAAAGCCTTCACCGTATATGAAGCAAATATCATGGCTGATTTCTGCAGTTTTTTTGCAAATATTCGAAGAAAACAGGCGCCGAGAACGACGTTCTTGTACCTACCATTAGTGTGGAAACTTGAGAAAATTTCAGGATCTGGAAAAAACGTTGGCCACTATTGCATCATTCAGCAAACAATAAGAACAGACGAAATTCTACGTTTTCACTCCAGCGCACGATTCCTCAAATCATTGCAGGAAACCTGGCACTGTTTCATAATGTCTAGACAATTTAGTGTGTAGTTCAGACAATTTAGGCTCATTATCTAGATAATTGCAATTGACCAGAAACCCTGCTAAAGGAAACTGCGTCAGCGAGCAGATATTATAGTCAGTCACTGCTATCTTGTCATTAGAGATTCGTAAATATCTGCTCTGCGTTTTATAACACTTTCTTTATTTTAAAATCTACTTCTACTAACTATGGCTGCAAGATAATTTTATCTAAAAATGCAAGGCTCCATATATATA